TAACGGGGCTCGGAGGCCCTGGCACCGGTACCTCCCCCGGGGCTGCACTCCTGAGAGGCCAGAGGCCCTCTGGTCCGCAGTGGAGTCAGGCAGCTCCTCGGCTTTGGGAGCCATGCCGTTGCATCGCTGCGTACCCGAGTTTTTGGGTGGTTCGATGGTCCCCCAAGTGATTCCACACCTGCCCCTTGCTCTGTGGACCGGGGCAATTTGGTAAGCGCTGGCCCAGCACCAGGTCCAATGCCTGCCCAGGCAGTGGCCCTCTGGGGTTTAATCTGGGTATTCGTGGTTCTCTTGTGTTGCGTTAACTTGGAGTGTTGGGATGAGGCAGGGGACCATTGTGGAGATCTCTACACAAAATGGTGAGGCAACAAGTTGTTGATGCAGGTTTATAAGCTCCTCGAAGCAGAGGCCATCTCTGTTCCGTTGTACAGAGCTTAGCTGAATAAATCTTTAGTCCAAGATTCAGCACAGGCACTTGTTGCAGTAAAAGCAGTAATTTGTAACTGCAGACTGATAGCTGTGTATATTGGAACTGGGGTGACTGGTCTGTAAAGCTAAACAAAGTGTGCTTTCCTGAGGTGAACCTCCACTTCTGGTCTCTCTAGTGCCTGGTCGTCTTGTTAAGAAAGGAAGAGAGAAAAGTGGTTAGGTGAGAAAATGGTTAGTTCACACCAATTACTAATACTCGTTTACATTTTTACTCAGGACTAAATGGCGAGCAAATAGACTGTTTGAAGCACTGGCTTTGATCGCCTGAGAGGAGGGACTCTGCTGAGGATACCCCACAGGGAATCTGTTGGGTATCTCTGTCATCTCGGACTCTTCTTCCCTGATATGGAACAAAGTGAAGGTGAACAGGAATCCCAGCCAGAAAGTCACGTGGATAGCAAGAGCAGCGTGAAATCCTTGCCTGGGGGAGCAGCCTATGTCAAACTAGAGATTAAAAAACATGCAGTTACGGATGACTACAAACTCTCCAAACGGGTGCTAGGGTTAGGAATCAACGGCAAAGTACTGGAGTGTTTCAACAAGGAGACAGGCCAGAAATGTGCTTTGAAGGTATGGAGGCTCTTTCTTTTTTTCCTTATTTATGGTTTGGAGGCCAGAGTTCACTTCCAAAGCCCTGTAAAAGCCACTTGTTCTGTTGCTTACATTTCACAGAGTGCTGCATGAAGAATTTGAGTATGTGGAGGTGTTGCTATTACTTACAACACTGTAGTCCAAACTTGAGTCTTTTCCAGAATATTCTGCGTGAGTTTCCAGAAGAACGTTATCAGCTGTGAAATTCTCGTGTTCATATTTAACAGACAAAAAAGTGGGGGAGAGAACAGTGTCTTGTTGTGTTCTGTGAGAAAGCTTGCTTGATTTTGAATGAACATATTATGCAATACTTGGGAAGGAAACTATTTTGGATCTTGTGCAATGAAATAGGCCTAAGCTGGGAAGTATTTAAATATTCATTGGTCTTCAGGCTTTCCTCCCTTTGAAGACTTTTCTTAAGGGGCATTTCTAGTTGTTTACTCACTTACTCTCCTCTTTATTTTTGCAATTCATTTAGAGAAGGGAATTACCTGGGAAAGCACTGATTACATCAGTATTGGCAAGTAAGTTTAGTAGATATTTATGGTGATAAGTGCCACTTAAATAAATGGAGCAATAACCATTCATTAGAGAACATAAAGCTTACTTGCCTTTTGCTCTGCAGCTTTTAAACTTGAAGATTTCCCTGATACTTTTAAACCACATCATTAGGAAAAAGCAGCTCAAATGAGAACCAGGATGGTTCTGTATGGTAAGACTGAAAACCAGCTGAAGTAATTGTCATGAGAATTACTTAAGAATGTTACCAGCTCCTTGCTGGTGTTAATCTGATTAGTTGGGATGTCTAGAAGGCTTTCAGGTACCCTTCCTTTTCTTAAACCTCACATTCCATGTTTGCTGACAGCAGGACAAATCTGCTAGTGGTCAGCTGGAAGGTCTGCCAAGGCCTGGGTATGGTCTTACCAAGCTAGAACTGCTATCCCCAGCAAAGCCTTTGCACTTGGATAGAACAGACTGGAAATATCTGGTAGCTTCGCCTGTTGAAAAGATTTTTAATAGAGGACCTAGAAAAGCTTATAATACAATGACATGCTGATGAATTCACATGTTTCCAACACACTCATTTTATTTATCACATTGGTTTTTGTATTAGCTTCACATAGCTGACTCACAGAAGTTTATCATGGGGAAACTGGAGGTTTTGGCAAACAGACAGGAAGTACTGGGGTTTTGTGCCTGCATAGGGGAGTGTCAGGTTTTTACAACTCTGAGGTGATCCATCATTAATCAGATCCTTCTGAAGTGCTATCAATGTTAATTTCTATACTTAGCATACTGTGATGAAGGATAATAGTTAATACTGAAGCTGTTCTGCTGTTTCTGAAGAGTTCAGCGGCTTTGTTGCTGATTATATACCATTCATACTTCAAAGGTTTTGCAGTCATAAGGGCTGGAAGCATTTTAAAATAGAAGTTGCCATTCCAGAGGACAATCCAGTGGCAACAAGTGTGTTCCAGAGCAAATTCTGTAGCTCTGGAATCAAACAGGAAATACATTCCTATGGATACTAGCATCTGTAAAATATTTTTTTAATTCAGTGCTCCGAGTTGGGGAAGGGGAGAAGATAGGTAAAGTTGATGTGCCCTGACAGAATATCCTCTGCCTCATGGGGAGGAGGAACCTATAGTAGATCCTCTAATGCCAGTTTCTGTTTAGCACTGACTGAGTTGGCTGATTTTTTCAGAACTCTTAAAATATATTAAGGACCAAAGCATCATCCCCCCTTCCCAAACTGGAGTTTTGTCAGTAATGGCTAATATATCACTGAAATTACATTATATAGGTGTTTGTCATCCCCCCCCAGCTTTGGAATGTGTGCACTTCTGAAAGGGACAGAAATATTAAGAAGTTTGAGTTCTCTAGAGAGTTGAAATGGCAGATAATAGTTTGCTGCTTGCGTGTATGTATTTCTCATCGTTATGAGTTTAAGTGCTGAATAAAAAGTTAAATATGCAATTAAGTAAAACTGCCAGCAGCCCAGAGAGAATCCTCTATTCTCTCCAAAGATGGTCTAATGAGAAGATTACCCAACAAGGAAGAATAAAACCTGTGCTTGCTTAATTGGCAAGAATAGAAAGATCTTTTCTCAGCCCTGAAGATATTTGCAAGCATGAAAATATTCAGAAGAAGTTCTTCCATTGTTTCTCGTGAAACCTGAACTGGGCCACGCAAGTCCCAAACCTGCTCCAGATGAGACTTCAGAGCAAACCATCCAGTCAAAACAGTTACGGAAAAAGGACAAGAAACTTAGGAAAAAAATGTTCAGAAACGGCTTCAGTGCAGAATTCTCTGTGTAGGGACAATGGAGCCTTGGCGTTTCTGCCTTGCTGCTGCTCATACTTCCTCGGTGTGATGGCGGGGTTATCATTCACTTACAGGAATAGAAAGTGGAAGCTGATGAAGCTGTCACAGAAAAAAAACAACTGGTCTGACAGGTAATGACAAATGTAAAGACCGAATTGCCAGTTGAACAGGAAAAAACGGATGTTTGATGGATTTTTTTTTTTTTTTTTTTTTTTTCCCCCCTGGAGGTTGCTTGTGCAGTATCCATTGAGATCTACATATATATGTGGACAAATACCTCGGGCGTCAGTGTGCTTACTGTAACCTGCTCCTGGGAAAGGAAAAACACCACTCCTGCTGCTGAAGATAAAGCGTAATAGTCTGTTGCCCTTCACACCAAACCTGCCCATTAAAGCAGCTTCTGACTTGGCAGATGGCACTGCTTTCTGCCTGCAGGTTTTCTTTTATATGGGAACAAAGCCAGCACAGCCAGGATCTGGATAGAAATTACTCAATGGAAGGAATTTTAACTGAGGTACTCAAGAGGAAAGGGCTCGAACAGGCAGAAACATTCATCCCCAGAGCCATGTGTCAGTCAAGCACTACATACTGTAATTGGGAGGTCCCTGTTGTCTTCTTTACTCTGTGTCCGTAATTGGAACTAGTTAGAATTTCATTAATCATTTTAGAGTGGGAAAACACAAGATGTCCTCTCAGAGATACTGCAGGGCTTTTATTTTCCTAAAGTATTATGTGGCTTAGTTTACTCTGCGTGGCATTGTGATTTGCTACACGCTTTTACAATGTGCTGTCAGCTTTGTTTCTGTTAGATTGAAATGCCACATGCATTGCTGTCCTGCTCCAGAAAATCTAATCTGGTTACTCACTTAGATGCATAATGACATTTTGGCTGAACAGCACTGTTTCCAAATAGTGAGAGTGCAGGGATTTAGAAAAGTATAAGCATAAACAAAACTGCAGGACTGTGGCCTTCTAGAAGGCAACTATGTTTTAGTCTCTCTCTGCCTTGCAAACAGAAAACCTCAGATCTCTTTTCATAGTTGATCCAGAAATAGCAGTCAAGTGAAGTCTAGTCACTCTTCTATTTTTATCTCTTCTTTGTCAGCCTGCCCCCTTCTGTTCACTTTACCTTTTGGGGCTAAAATTTAACCTCCACTCCTTTAACACTGTCATCAGCCTGAGTGTTCTCTGCTGTTTTTCACGCTTCTCCCTGTTTTTGGGGAGAGGAGGAGACCGAAATAGCTGACTACCTGTGAGGATAAATGTGGACTCCTGGGACTTGCCTCCCATTAAAAAAAACCCAGTGTACGGTTCCTTGTTCGTTCTTCTTCTCTCACTTTTTTTCTTTTTTTTGGCACAAATTCCTGCTAAGTGGTGTCAAAATTATATTTCAATGGATTTGATGACCTACTTTATTTTTGTGAAAGACGGTAGAAAGAGCTCAGGCAGAGCTGGGATCAAGAAAAGAGAAATAGAGCGCGATCTGCTGAGGTATTGGGACTTCTCTGCATCTGCAGCTTCAGGATTTTGGTGGATGATTCAGGATGTAAAAACAGTGTTACGTGTCGTTGGCATACTATTAACCTTCAGTAAACAGGTGTTGCTTCTTTCCAGGAAAGAAAAGGAAGGACAATTCAGGCATAGTAGCAAAACAAAGACCTTTGGAACTTCAGGAAAACAAAGTACATTGGTTATGAGTGTATTGGTACTTTTGATATGAAAACTCTCCTGAATAACAGTACAGCAGTTGTAAAGTGCTTCTCCCCTAAGCACTGTGCATATGCGCCGTATACTGCAGCTGCCTTCCAGTCATCTGAGACTTCTAGGTTAAAGTGGAATATATATGAATGAACCGGCTAGTTCATAGGTCTTATCCTCTAGAATAAATAGTGAGTTAAGCCATAACCTGCCTCATGGAAAATGTCCTGTGCTGCGAAGTGCCAGCAATACAGTATATGTGACTTGCTGATTTGAACACAAACAGGTGAAGCCCGAACATTAAATAAAGCAAAAAGCAAACACAAAAATGAACAGGCTCCTTGCCTTTTAGATTTAAGGAACTTTTGGTGAATGATATAAATGATCATCATAGAGTAGGAGGCTCTAATGTTATCCATAAGAGTATTAGCATAACTTCGTGCTCAGAAGAAAGGAAAGAAGGTAATGGAGAAAGAAAGCTTGCAAAAAAATCATTCCCGAAATGGTTCTTGGAAACCACACATAGGACTATATAGAGAATGTTGTTCTGCTTTCCAAAGTGGAGTCGCTGTGGAGAAAGATAGTCGTTCTGTGTCACCTTAATTTAGTCTTGGGCTACGTTTCCACCTCTCACTCAACTGTAATGTTTCTGATTATGTTAAATAATACTACATCACGTAAGCTAATTGCTGGATAGGCTGTTTTCAGTTAGTATACCCTGAAGTCAGGTCATGATTGCTTACTAACGGGAGACTGTACAGTCCAAAGTATTTGTTTTGCAAGTTATCTAAATAGCTCATACTTTTAAAATACCTTCTTTATTGCCTGAAATAAGATGATGATCAAGGAAAAGAATGCAGCAGTGGAGAAGGCAATGCATACAGTGAAGTGAAGGTTATTTTAGGCTGATGATTGATTGTAGAATAGGAAATGTTAACAAGCTGCTTAGATGCTAT